TCTGTCTAAAGGATTATAAAAGTCACTCAAAATCTCAAACCTATAACATCTAATTAATTCTGAAGTGTGCGCAGAATTACGTATATAATGAATCGAGTCAAAGGTGATCATTTGGATAAACAATCCAGGCTGGGTGAACAATCAAACCCTTTTCACACTGAGGCTAAAGAGATTTAGCACTACACGAAATTGCTCCGACTACCCGTTTCTTCTCATAGTTGAAAAAGCCTTTCTGAATTATTTTGATATTTAATATCGATTTGGTACTTATTGAAAATGGCATGCACTACTCTTTTCAATTTTATTCGTAATTCTTCGATGTCTATGGGATTATTAAGAAGTCTTTTTGTGTCACTTGAGTGTTTTTTGGAACGAGTTGATATTCCACGAGAAGACTGTATGTTCAACTTCTCCATTCTACTATAGTCTTAACCTTCCTTTCAATCTCCCATGGCCTGTCGTTTTTTGAATCCTTACCAACTATAATTTACAGCTATCAATTAGCCGCTATTACTATACTGATCTAGATATTAGCCAAACAGACAGTAACCTTTACCTTGACATTCTTTATTACCTGTTGGATTATCACATGACCTATCAATATCTTATTTTAGTAAACAGTTTATGACACCATGTTGCTTTTTTTCATGGTTCAAAATCATTTTACTTTACTATGGAATATGATTATCAGCGAACAAATTAACTATAAATATGGTCGTACTGCTTGAATAACTGGAACAAATAAACCTATTTACTTACTCCTGTTAACCTTAATGGAGCTTAGGTTGCCTACCAGTATTCTCAAACCAACTTTTCCTGCGTTCTCCTTCCCACTAGTCCCTGATTGTTACTCATATTTTTCATATCTGTTTCTAATTCTCAGCTCCGTGTGTTCCTATGTCTACCTCTTTTTCTTTGGCCTTGAGGATTTCAAGTTAGGGATTGCCTGGCGACGCAGTTGGGTACGTTCCGCAATGTTTGTCTTATCCACCTCCCGCACTTTTTCTCAAATTCTTTAGATTGAAGTTGACTTGCTCTCTCCTACAGTAGGTTGTTGCTGATAGTGTTTGATCAACGGACGAGGAGTATCTTGCGTGAACAACTGTATCTTTTGTACGATGGCTTATGTAGTTTTTCAGGTTTTCGCTTCATACCATAAAACGCTTTTGACGTACGTAATGAAAATTCCAACTTTGTTGTTGGTTGAGAGTTGGAGTCCCAGATATTCCTTAATTGTAGAAATGCTGCCGTTGGTTTGCCAATCTGCACCTTCAAACCTGCATCACACCCACCTAGTTCATCAATAATGCTGCCTAGGTATGTAAAGGTTTCCAAATCTTCCAAAGCTGCTCCCTTAAGTGTGATTTGGTTGGTACATTTAGTGTTGTATCGGAGTATTTTTCTTTTTCTCTTGTGTATACTGAGACCTAATGCTGCAGAGGCTGCTACTACACTGGTTGTCTTCTAAATTTGTTGTTGTGTGTGGGATATAAGGGCTAAATTATATGCGAAGTCCAGATGGTCCGGCTGCACACAAGCTGTCCATTGTATTCAATACATCCCCTCAGATGTTGACGCCTTCATAATTCAATCAATCACCAGGAGAAAAAGGGTAAAAGTAAGCTAACTTGCCTGACACTGGTCTTCACTTACACGTGTCTGTGCGCTGCCCTCTATGCACCATTTTGCAGTTTAATCCATCATTAGAATCCTATATAATGTTTAGGATCTTCTCAGGTACACTGCAGTATCGAAGAAGCCTCCATAGTTTCATCTACTCCACGCCATCGAATGCTTTCTCCTAGCAAGGGGAGTTGAAGTATAGTCATGAGTTCTATTCAATTGATTGTTCCAAAATGATCCGTAGTAAAGCGCCCGATTTGGTCGGTACACAATTGATCCTTACGGAATCCAGCCTGCTGATCTCAAAGTTGAGCGTCTATGAAATCTTTCATTTGGTTGAACAACAATGTGTTGAAGAATTGTCCTGGTAATGAAAGTAGAGTGATGCCTCTGTAGTTACCACATTGCTGAGATTTCCTTTATTCCGTATCTTGGTCAGGTGTCCTTTTTTCCAGTCTGTTGGGACTGGTCCTTCATCCCAAATCTTTCTGAATAGAATATGTAGTATCTTTGCAGTTGCTGCAACGTCTGATTTCTATGTCTCTGCAGGAATCTTGTCTGGTCCCGCCGCTTTACCACTCTTGATTTGTCTAGTGTCCATGCTGATCTCTTCAACTGTTGTTGGGCCTATATTAATCAGGAGGTCCATAAGTTCTGGATCAATGATGTTCCTCTTCACTTGTTTCTTTTCTTCTGCGTATTCAGCCTGTGCATTGACTTTCCCTACTATTGTTCTGCTGACATTGGTTGTTGCCTTCTTGTTCCTCCTTTCTTGAATATTATACAGAATATCAACAGAGATCCATTCCTTGTGATGATGTTTCATATGACCAAGAACCTCACGACATGCCAAAGTTATCGCTTCTCTGGTTCTTTTACAGTTGTTCTCCATGGTAGTTTCTTCATCATCGAGCAGATTTTGAAAGGCCTAGAACTATCTTGAGTTTGTTGAGTTTGCCAGTATCCAGAAGACAGGTCAAATGAGACTTCTGTGATGCTGTTGGCCCAGTTGTCTAGTGCTTCTTGAGTTTCAGTTTCATCTTGGCCACTACCAAGTGATTATCTGAAGCTATGTCAACTTCTCTCTTGGCTCTCAAGTCCTCCATAGTCTCCAACTGAACTTTTTATTGATACAGACATGGTCAATTTCGTTTCGTGTAATGTGATCCGGTGAAACCCGTGTAGCTTCGTGCATACGTTTGTGCGGGAATATGGTGCCACCTATGGCCAGTTGGATGAAGGTACATATGCTTGCAAATCTCTCACCGTTTTCTTCCCTTTGTCTCATTCCATATCGTCCTATGATCTCTTTATATCCAGTGTTGTCCATTCCAATCTTGGTGTTTAGACCTCCCATTTGAATAGTTAGATCATTTGCTGGGCCTTTCTCGACGATCGACTGCAGCCTCTCACAGAATTGAGCTTCGTCGTCTTCACTGTATTCGCTGGTAGAGCATAGCACCGAATGATATTCATTGTAATACCGTCTTTCTTTTGTGAGACGCATTTACTTCTTCATGACCGGAAAAAAACACCACCTCTACAGAAGCTAGTCTTTTTTTGTCCGACCTGCATCCAACGTCTTTCGGTTACCTGTAGATTGTATTTTTTTCATGCCCGCAACAATTTGAATGGTTCTTCTACCTGAAGATCAAATCATCCAGATTAGAGAGTGAAACTACACCAAAACATTCTTCGCCTAACTGGCTGAGGAAATCAGTATAGGCTTTTGCCAACTTTCACCATCTACGGCGTAGGCGAAATGTCCATCTACCAACTAGGAGACAAGTATGTGATGCAACAGTTTATTTCGTACTACCCTTTGGCTGCAAAGATATAAGGTTTGGATAGGCTACAAGTATATGATTAAAGACTTCTTCGAAGCCCTCTTAGAATATAGTGAAACAACTGATTTGTATACAAATCTCTTTGAATCTCAAGCAGAACAGCTAAAAACTTAACAAAATTTAGTATCCTAAAAATAGTTGGTTAGAGAGGGGACTGTTGACAAAATTTACTGAAAACCGAAATTCTTGGTCGAAAAAAATAAACTTCGTGTCAGAAAACACAACTACATTTAAGAATAGTTGCAACAACAATGCTAAGTTGACTTAGAGGCTTTTGTAAAATATCATCATTGATTAGGTTGTTTAATGGGTAATAAATAGAGTAATTTTTCATTTGATGACTTGGAAATGGTGAATATCTTAACATTAGGCCATACGAATTCAGTACAGTCCCGCAGAAAAAGCAGGTTCAAATTCATATCAGCACTTACAGTCATATATTTTAAAAGCTATACAAAGATTTAGGTTTAAGTCATTTGATGTTAACACTATTTTGTGAAAAATCAGACAAAGGCATACAAATAAACGAAGAACATTTGTCTGAATTAACTCTCATCGGTTGCCATAGTATCAGATCCAAATCAATGACCCCATATCGTAGCATATAATACGCAATTTCTTATAAGGAACAATATTAACTTATCGTAATATCATTATTTTTCAAATCTTACAGCATTTATACTTTTAAATTTATTTAATCTAAGAGCTAATTGCATAAAAATGAGTTTAACTGTCTGCAGTATACCCATAACTTTTAAACAATAATTTAGCTTACCATCAGAAATCCCACATGACTGGTTTGAAAACATGTCATTTTTGTGATTATCAGACGTTTGAGAAGACAAATAATCATTCGAACCTGTTGAGTCATATGAATTGACCGTGAAAGGACATTTTTTCAGTAAGCACTCTGAAACATTCTCTAAAATACGGAACCAATTTGATAAAAAGAATTAGATGGAATAAAATTTATAAATAATAGCGTGCAAAACTGACAGCCGATAACAATGACCAAATAAGTGTATTAAGCTCCTTGACTAGATGTTAAATGTCAGGTTCAGGAGCGAGAGTTTAGCTATTAATGCACTCAATTTTTGAACGAGTAGGTTTGAACACTGTTCCACTTACTTCGACCTAGTCAGTTAAATAGTGTTACTATCCCTTAAACAGTCAGTCAGATGCAACGTAGAACTTCGTACGTAAGTACATCAGTTCATGTTGCCATACCACATCAGCACAGAGATATAATTATCAATTCAAATGCAATAGTAGGATAGGTAGTAAAGGTATTGGAAGTAATCGAAGAGGTTAGGATTAGAAGATATTATTCAAGAAGTATGATTCAATGAGATAAGTTTAGAAAGTCAAAACTAGAGGTGTTGAAGAATCCAGAAGATTAGGATTTGAGAAAACACAAAGAATAAATGCACCGGCGCCATCGCGAACGATTTTGAGCCATGTCATTCAAGGTCTCTAACCATCGATTATTATCATCTCGCGGACCCCAAACAGGTAGTCGACAATTACCGACATGTCTCAGTCCACTAGTCAATGACTTTATGGATTTGTGCCATGTTTTGGTTTGCCCGCCCCTAACTTTCTTCCAACCTATTCCTACACTACAAAACAAAGCTCGACGAGGCAGTCGGTGGTTAGGCATACGCAACAATAAACGTGTGGCTTAGAAACTGTACTTGGTTACTGGGTGTCAGGTTTACACTAGTTATCAAATAAAGGTATTCAGTTCTTGCTAAGTGTATTAATACGGTTAGATGCTTTGTTACCTTTTGTGGAAAAAAGTGACTCCATGAAGTTCATTGGTCTAAATATCAAATCATGGCAAATGAAGATGAGCACGTATATTATTCTTATTTAAATCTATTGATCATATGCCCTTAAGATATCTATTTAATGAATGGATGCACACAAAATCCCTCTGTAGATATTGTGTTATAATGTGTTTCGTTCAATACTCACAAGTCTATGTACTCGACTTGAACCAAATGGTGTAAGAGTTAATAATGCCACCCAGCTGGGCAAATATAAACTGTTAGGTGAGGTTAGAACTTCAGTCAGGCGATTTAACAATTAGGCCACTATCGTATATAAGTCACTACACACTGGAAGAAATTCAGAGAATTCATGTAGTTCTAAATACAATGGTTTCTTTCACTTAGTCTTATCGTCATCAAGAAGTTTTACCTGATATACAAAAACGCTATAATAGATTCAAATTTTAATTTAAGACGAAGGGTTTTATTTTATTTTAAAAGAAAACAGTGATGCCAGCTTTCTTGATTGCCCCTTATGAATATAGAAAACTACAAAAATCTGTTTCTCAGCCTTTATTCATTGAATATTTCATTGTGCGATTCCCATCGTCTTTCTGTATGTATTTTTGTGGCTTGTTTACAGTTAATTAAGCAAGACCTAGTTATCAATTTCAAGAGGTGGAAAATATAGAAATATAGGTTATATAAGAAGTAAAAACTTACTACAAACAGATAATTCATCTGACTGACGTTCCACAGCAACATCTGAATACATTCTTGGACTAGAAAGTGGTGTTCCATCAAACAAACGCCTGGCAAACGGACATCTGGGTATTAATTGGATCAATTGTTGAATATCTCTTTGAATCACAGAGGGAGACAATTTACGCAAAAACGGACACGATGTCATTGTAAGACCTTAAACACAAACCAACAGTAAGTCATAATAAAAATCATACAAATCAGTTATTTACTACTAATAAAAATATTTATTACAGCATTAGATGTTAATGAGTAATCATTAGTATATGATAACAACAAATTATTTCATCAATGTAGGACATGCTAGTGTTCTCAGATAAATGAAACTGATCCAAGTGAATATTTGGAATTAGAATTTTCCGGTAAGTACGAAATACCATGGAATTGTTAATTAAATGAAGAATGAATTGGATTGTGTTAGCAGTTATTGAAGATGAACCTATTAAATCACTTTTCCGTGGTTAGTAATAATGATTATATTTGTATTTAATGCAGATTCCCCAATGTGAGCTATAGTATGAATGAAAACCATTCCATGTGCTAAATTTCAGGAAAGTAGATAGAAAAAGAGATACTGTAGAGAAAAACGAAGAAAAAAAATACTATCTCAGCTCAACTTGATTGAGACTGAATTTACTCTCTTAGCACTGAATACTTTGGTAAACAGTAATGTTAACAAATCTGTAGTATATATATATATCAAGATTCAACCACATAATAGATAGTCAATTAAGTGATAATTCAACCTCAAACTAATGGTTGTTAGGTCTGAACTATGTAACGAATATTCCGGAATACCTATAATCTCAGGATCATTGGAGTAATGATAATGTAATTCAGTTTTGAAGTCAAAGTTTATATACTTAACTGTTAATAACTCATTTTGTCGGTTTAAAGTCACTAATTGTCTAAAATGCAAAAGGTGAATTAGAGTTTCAACTCGCAACTTAGCTGCAAAAATTCAAGTGCTTTACTCAGGTTAATGATTTATAATCAGTCTGAAGTTAAGACCAGTGGGCACATGTCTACTTAGTGAATTCATTTTAGGCTGTTATAACTTAAATCACATTGATCAATAGTTACCCGACCATAGCTGCTAACATGTCGAGGTGGTCGGGCTTGCCTATCGTGATCACCCAACCGAGCTATATTGGCTGGAACATATGTTCCTGTAGGTTCTACCACGCCAGGCAGGTCGATTGGAGAACGATCAGACTAAAAGAAGCTACTCAAGGTCTGGGGGCGAAGTCGTGCTGCTGACTGCAGAGGGGTGTGACGGCAGTACGTCGTGTCCCTCGGATAATCAGTATCCGCAGCGATGCTGCCTTCTCACAAGGAAGGAAGGGTTAGAAAAGGTCGACCCTAAAAATGTCACACCTCACCTTAACTCACGGATTTCCGTCTTCGGCGGTAAGGCATTTTAAATAAGGACAGAGCTAACACTTGAAATACTGCCCATAATAAGACCGCGCGTGACCGGACTCATGCAGTTGTCCTTTCGACTCTGCCGCCAAGCTACCATGTCTCTAAGACTGACACTGATCTAACTTCCTTTTCAGGTCCCTCAAGAAATACCCTTCCACGGTGTGGACAGCCGGGAAGTGACATCCGCCCTCATATCCATAACAGCACACGAGACCGAATCGGTCACAATCAAATCCTTCTTATATCTTCTAAGATTGCTCTAATCTCCACGATTAACTCTTCTTACATTAGTTTATCATCCCGCGCATCTGCTTCAAACGATTCCAGTTCCCGAAACGTTATTCCTGGTCTCCTGAAACCCCGTTCTAGACTACATGTTGAAGCTTTTAATGTACGGACATTATGTCAAATAGGACAACAGGCTTCCTTAGCTAGGACTTTAGAATCTCGTGCCATCGATGTATGCTGCGTCTCGGAAACGCGCATACAGGATCCTAGTAAAATTATTAATCTGATTTCACCTTGTCAAAATAAAGAAGCAGCTTGATTTACTCTTCGTGGGTGCTGATTCCCGGGGTCTTGCTGGCGTAGGTATAGTATTGAGTCGTAGAGCTGAACAATCCCTCCTAGAATGGATCCCAGTAGATAGTCGTTTGTGCGCTGTCCGACTAAACGGGACAGTAAGGATTCGGAAAGATAGGGACACTCGCCGTTGCCTCTTCGTCATATCTGCCTACGCTCCCACTGACTGCAGTTCAGACGATGCGAAAAATGAGTTCTACAGAAAGCTTTCGGACCTCCTCCAAAAAGTTAGGCACTGATATAAAAATAATGGCTGGTGACTTTAATGTTCAAGTAGGTAGACTAAGTGAGAAGACACCTGGGTGGATCTTATGGTGTCACGGCTCAGAGAATAATGGCAACCGTCTGCTACAACTGTGCTCAGATAACCGCCTATTTCTAGCAAATATTAACCTTAGGCATAAGGAAAAACATCTCTTGATCTGGCGATCCCCAAAGTCCTTAAAACGTTGGACCCAACTAGATCACAGCCACCGATGAAAGGGTTCAAAAGAGGACTATCGCTCGTTCTGAGGCACTTGTTTAGACTCAAATCATGCTCTAGTGCGAGCGCGTATTTGTTTGTGACTCACTGGGAGTGTAAAAGACACCACAAGGAACCTGTTAGGGTTATACTTAATTATAGCATAGCTAAGAATATATTTCAGGAGCATCTAGAAAGACGGTTTGGAGACCATGTAAGTGATTCCCATCCGGAGGCAGCTTGGAATGATATCCGAAAAGCTGTGGAAACAGCAATGATACATGATAGTAGGGTAAACCATAAGGCTACGAAGGACCCATGGATCTCAGTGGCATCCACCAAACTGACAGACGCTCGTAAACTCATCCCACATGGCTATGAACATGATGAAGAGCGAAGTCAGCTTAAGCGCAGGGTGATAAAAAGCCTACGCAATTATCGCGAACAGTGGTGGGTAGTGAAAACGAGAGTGATGGAAAAGGCAGCGACGATAGGTAACAGCAGACAGCTGTAAGGACTTATCAAGGAAACCGGTATTGTAAATTCATCTGCTAGCGAAACTATATCAGAAAAGGATGGGCCTATTATTCATTATCAATGTAAGTCCTCCGAGTCTTCATGAAGTTGAGAAAGCTATAGGAAATCTGAAGCGAGGGTGAGCTTCAGGGCCTAAAAGACCTAACCCTGAGATTTCCAAGTATGATGGTCCAGTTTTAGCTGTAAGATTGACCGAGTTCTTAGGTAGAATCTGAGAACTTGGCGTAATACCATCTGACTGGTTTCCACCACTCATTGTCCCAATTTATAAGAAAGGACAAAAGTCCTTTTGTGACAATCACAGGAATAAGTCTAACTAATAAAGCATCTAAAATATTAGCGTCAATAATACTTCGATGCTTAAAAAAAACTTTTGAAGAGCAGACTAAAGAAAACCAGGCTGGTTTTCGATCTGGTCATGGTTGCATCGACCACATTTTCACACTACGTCAGGTCCTAGAACAAAGAAACGTTCAGACGCCCCACAATAGTAGTATTTCTCGACCTTAAAGCGGCATTCGACTATGTCGATCGCGAAGTTCTGTGGCAGTGTCTGTTATTAAAGGGTGTACCAAAGAAGTACATTTACCTTATACGGGCTCTCTACTCGAACACCACTGGTCGAGTTAGAGCTTATGGCGAACTGTCATCAGAATTCTTTACTTCAAGTGGTGTCTGTCGGGGCTGTTCACTCTCTCCAATCCTATTTAACTCTGTCGTAGACATGCTTTCAGAGTTAACATTATTATCGTCTGACCTTCCAAGAGTGGACCTTCTACCAGGAGACACGCTTTCTGACTTAGAATATGCTGACGACATAGTTCTATTTGGTGAAGACGCCGACAAAATGCAGAGTCTTCTGACTACCCTAAGCAACAATCCAAGCATGTTCGTGATGCGGTTTTCTCCCTCGAAATGCAAAATGTTGCTTCAAGAATGGGTCGCATCGGCACCTGGACTAGTGATAGGGAGTGAAGGAGTCGAACATGTAGACCGCTTCACTTATCTTGGGAGTCTCATCAGTGCCGATGGCCTGGTGACTGATGAAATCTCAGCTCGGATACAGAAAGCTTGATTGGCTTTCGCCAGGTTGCGTCACCTAAGGCGCAGGCGAGATAGCCGTTCGCTAACCAAACGACCAGTCTACAGCTCAGCAGTTCGCTCTGCCCTATTATATGGATGCGAAACATGGCCGGTAAGAGTAGCGGACTTCCGTAGGTTATTAGTATTTGATTACAGATGTCTTCGGAGCATTGCTCGTATATCATGGGACAACTGAGTAAGCAATGCTATAGTTAGGAAACGAGTATTAGGTAAGGATGGCAGATCAATAGATGAAGTATTGAAACTTCATCAGTTGAGGTGGTTGGGACATGTGTTACGTATGCCTACCCACCGACTGCCTCGACGAGCTGTTTTGTGGTGTAGGGGAAGAAAGCTAGAGGTGGCCAGTCCAAAAGATGACACAAATTCATGAAGTCACTGACAAGTGGACTGAGTCATGTTGGTAGGTGTCGACTACCTGGTTAGGATGGTAGTAATCGATGGTTAGAGACCCTGAACGACATGACTCGGAATCGTTTGCAATGCCGCAGGTGTATTCATCCATTGTGTTCTCTCAAATCCTAACCTTCTGAATTCCTCATCATCTCGATCTTCTTTTTCCTAAAGTCATCTCACTGAATTATACTTCTCGAATCATATCTTCGAACCTTAGTCTTCTCCATTACTGCTAATACCTTTACTATCGCTACCAATTTTGATATGTTTAAATAAAATAGTAATTGTTTTACTACATTTTTTCATCTATTGACCATGGTATAACTGATAAACTATCTGCTATACCATATCTAGCTTTCTATTACCTTTATTGCAACTTTTATGTTGATGTGAAATGTTGCGGCTGTGGGGAAGCCACTAGGCTATTACATTATCTGCTTATCGGTATAATAAAATGAAACAATAAAAAATTGTAGCAGTCACGTACAATATTGAAGAGTACATGCATGAGACGGAAATGCGTAAAAGTAACACTACAATGGCTGGGAATCTAATTTTTTCTGCCTATCCAGTAACACAGGTCATTCAGACAAATACTAACTTAATGCTTTAAGATACCGCACTATTAGGTATAAACTAGA